TTATCAGTTATGTTTAACTGCATCCCAACTAAAACTAACCAAATCTCAGGTATGATATCAAAAAACATCACAAATTAAAATGGGTGAGGCTATAATTTACGGATGATCTTTGAGCGATGCTAAAGTGACCTTGAGAGTTTTACCTAATAACTATGAGGATTATAAATTAGTGTGATGAATTAGAATTATGATTTACAATTGATGGTTAAGGTTAGGAATTAGATTTCGGTTTTCTATCACGAACTGATATCAGCCATAATGCCAAAACTCTATTTATCCAAATGGATGAGTGAATTTTGTACCAAAATCCGAGACCTCGCCTTAAAACGAAATCATAATGGTTCAGTTTGCTCAATTATTCTGTAGATTATTTATAAACGTTAAGAATCAATGTATATGCGCGTTCATATGCAAATCGATACAAACAATCACAAGTGACACAATTGTACACATATGGTATTGGTTTTTTTTTTTTACCGAAACATAGATTATGTTTTCTGAACTGCGATCACCCTTCCTGAATAATAGATTTTTTACTGACACTAGAATGATGTCTGTTTCAACACGGGTCCATTATTTTTAGTTACGAATGCCGTGAGATAACACATCCATTCTCTTAAATGCTAAATGCATAGTGGTCATCGATATGCTCCTTTTGTACTATCCTCTTTGTATTTCAACTTATTCAATGTACTGTTTTTACAGGACTGAACCAATATGTTAATAAATAAGACTCTATAAATTTTAGATAGACTATCTATACAATAACTTGTCATTACATTTCGTTGTCTCACATAAGATTTATAGTTCATGGTCTAGTTGTATCATAAACAGTCAAATGTGGAGGGTCACATAGATGAACTTTTAGTTAATCAAGTATAACAGTTTAAAAATCCCCGTAGAATATTCAGTATATCCATTTCCAAAGCTTCACTCCTCTTCAATTTAAAATAAATTTGGTTAAGTGTCTCAACCACAGAATCAAGTTATTATGTTCTGAAGACAATCTAGATGACGAAATCGATATATTAAAGAACACATTACGATATAATGGCTATCCTGATAATTTCGTCAGAAAATACCTCGTACAAAGTAATAAAAAAAGACATTGTGACACAGTCAGCAAAAAGACCTTGTATCTGATATTCTAACGCGTCGACTCAAAAGATCGGTCGAAAGGACGTTTCGTGCCGCCAAGGTACACATAATCTCGACTAAACCAGTACTCATACAACTAATCAAGGATAGGTTACCGAAGATGGGCTCCTCCATGTGTGTATACCAATTCAACTGCTCCTGTGGAGCTAGTTACATAGGCCGTACTCAGAGGGCTTTATCCTTGCTTGTTCGTGAACAAGTAGCGGCATGGTTGGGAAAAGTAGTTACTAAATCGATTAACAGTGCTATTCTTTCACACTTGGTAGATAATGAACATCATATCAAAATGGAAGAAGCTTTCTGTTTTATATCAATTTCCAAAATATCTACCTCAAAGAGCTAGATTACGACTGCTTTACATAGCCGAAGCCATCTGGATCAACTCTAGAAGACCTAATTTATGTATCCAGAAAAAATATATCCAGCCTCTTTGTTTACCTTGGCCTACGACTGGATCACCGAATACCTAGTCTGAATATTTTAAATCTCTCACCTCCTTCCTATATTGTTATTTATTTTCCTTATTATCATTATTTTTGATTAACTCCATCTTAATGTTCACATCCATCATTCCCAATTCGTTGATCGTAATTACCTTGATAACACCCCCTACCCCCTTATTACATATTATATTCACACAACAATCTTATCATTCGCTGAAAAATTCCCATTATATTAAAACACAATTAAATGAACAAAGAATATTCTTTTCAATAATTTCTCATCAGGTTCTACAATTATAAATCCAAATTAATAATCCATAGAATTGGCCAGATTTAAGGCAGAGTACATCATTTGGAATTTGTGATATGTAAATCAAGAATTGTTATTTGTTATATAAAATCAAATCAGATCGTTAATGTTGGAGCTGACTAATATGAGGTGATAACTTGAATCAGTTTATAAGTGAAATGAAGTTGTGCGATAAATAATCAGAATAAATATAGTCAACATGGGGTGAGAAAAAAAAAATTTTCGGATAAAAATCGGAAATTACGTAATATGTGGAATAATATGAATGAAGTCAGATATAGTAGATTTAGGGGTGGATATTGAATAAATTCCTCAAAACGGTTATCAAATGTAGTGATAATAATAATAATAATAACAACAATGATAATCACACTCGTAAAGATAATAATAATGATAACAATAATTATAATAATAAGTTTGGGACATAAAATGAAGATTAATCAAATTACGTCACCATATTATAAAATTGATTATTAAGTAGTTGGCCTCAAAGATGGTTAGGGTAAAAGGAGTGGCTGGACATACTTCTTTTGGATACAAAGCTCTGACTTTTTGATCCGAATAGCAATTGCTTCAGCCGTCTGTAGCATTCGCAGTCTGACGGAATTAGGTAGAATACTGTTAACACGATAGATAATTGCGAAAGATTGCTCCATGTTGGCTGTATGTCCTGTCTGAACTAGATGATCTAAGATGGAGCTGTTAACCGTTTTGATTATAACTTTGCTTAACCACACGAGTAGGTGTTCATGAGTCCGAATGTACAAATTCCTAGAACATCTGCCAATATAACTTGCTCCACAGGAGAAGTTGAATTGATAGATACAGAACGAAGTGGCTAGTCTAGGTAATTTATCTTTCAACCTCGGAGTGATTATTGGTCGTGTGGAGAACATTAGTTGTAGTTTACCCGCATTAAAAGTCCTTTGAATTGATCTGCTTAACTTGAGTCTTAGCATTTCACCCGGTGCATCGCCTCTGAATTGTAAGCGTATATACAGAGGCTTTTTATTTACAGTTGGGTATTCTCTATTCTGTTTTTTATTGGCGATGTTTTTACTTATAAATTTCTCGAGATATCCATTTTCCTTCAGGGTTATGTATAACGTCTTTGTTTCATCATCAATCGTATCCGCAGAGCATATAGTCTTGATTCTATGATGTAGTGTCTTAATAAGGTTCTTTTTGTATTGTAGAGGAACAAAGCTAAGAAAGTTTCTATATTGACCCGTCCAGGTAATTTTCCTGTGTAAATTTGGGGACTATCAAATCGGATTTTGTATTATTTTACTACAGTTTTATTGGTAAGGTTGTCATTATTTTCAGTGACGAATTTTAGTGTGTATCTGTTACTTATTTCTCACATTACTTTGTAAGTGAAATGTCATGTTAGCCAAACTAATTGTCATACATTGTAATGAATTAAATAGCATGGGTCTTGTACCATAACTCCACGTGTAGCTCTTCTAGGGCTACTGCCGGTCCCAAGCACTCAAGAAGGAGAAGGATTGGGCATGGGGTCCCCAACCCCATTGCGTAAAACACAACCTTGCTAAATAAAATCTTGTCAGAAAAAATAAATTAAACCATTTAAACTCTGGACTCCGAGTTGAAAGAAGAATTATGACGCCTCATGATGAAAACCTAGATTCTTCGGAAGTCACAAGGCCAATGCCCCTTCTAATAACAACAGCAACAATTTTTATAGGTACATGGAACGTTCAGACAATATATGAGACCGAGAAAACTAACCAAATAGCTGAGTAAATAGGGAGATACAACTTGACGGTGTTCGTAATCAGTAAAACCAATTGGACCCAAACTAAACAGAAAAATCTACATACGGGAAAAGTGCTGCTGTAATTCGTTCACGAAGAAGAAAATGCTCCACACACTCAAGGAAGTGTACTGATGCTGTCCAGAGAAGCACCTAATGCACTTATAGGATGGGAGTCTCATGGATCAAAAATCGTCAAAGCATCCTTAAAAGCAAAGAAGGAGAGGATCACAATGAATGTTATCCAATCTTATGCACCCACCAATGATAGCAACGACGACAATAAAGATCAGTTCTATGAGAGACTGCAATCGATCATAGCGAGGTTTCCAGGAAAGAACCTGGCCATCCTGATGGAAGACTTGAACGCTAAAGTCAGAAGGGACGACATCGGGAATGAAAATATCATGAAACGACATGGACTAGGAGTAAGGAACGAGAATGGTGACAGATTTGCAAGTTTATAAGCCTTCAGTAAAATGGTTATAGGCAGCTCAATATTCCCACACAAACACAGAGATGAAGCTACATGGGTATCATCCGATCACATCACGGAGAACCAGGTTGATCATATTATTATTATTATTATCACTACATTTGATAACCGTTTTGAGGAATTTATTCAATATCCACCCCTAAATCTACTATATCTGACTTCATTCATATTATTCCACATATTACGTAATTTCCGATTTTTATCCGAAAATTTTTTTTTTCTCACCCCATGTTGACTATATTTATTCTGATTATTTATCGCACAATTTCATTTCACTTATAAACTGATTCAAGTTATCACCTCATATTAGTCAGCTCCAACATTAACGATCTGATTTGATTTTATATAACAAATAACAATTCTTGATTTACATATCACAAATTCCAAATGATGTACTCTGCCTTAAATCTGGCCAATTCTATGGATGATTAATTTGGATTTATAATTGTAGAACCTGATGAGAAATTATTGAAAAGAATATTCTTTGTTCATTTAATTGTGTTTTAATATAATGGGAATATTTCAGAGATTACAATCATTTCTACTGTACGTAGCTGAAACTACCATAACCATAATCAAAACTGTACAAATATTGATAAAGAGTTGTCTACGTAAGATACTGAATGTCCGTTGTATGGAAGCCATCAGCAACAGCCCACTGTGGGAGATAACAAACCAGCTTGCAGACGAGTCGGAAGTTAGAAAGAGACTATAGAGTTGGTATATATGACATACATTACTGAAATCATTAAACTGTATCACGAAGCAAGCGCTTACTATCAAGAATCGTGAAGGGAAACAGAAAACAGGAAATTCGAAGAATACACATACTACGTAGAGAATTGGAAGTAGACATAAAAAGGATGAACAGAAACTGGAAACAACTGTAAAAATGGATTGTCTAGAACAAAGTTGGATAGATAATGTTGATGGTCAGCTTATAGTACTCTACAAAGTGTAACAGTCATAAGTAACTATGTAAAGCATTCATATTCAGGTATAATATGTTGAGAGAAGAAAAAAAAACAATTGATCTTTACAAAAAACTGTTTTTTTATTATCTTAAATTGGACAATTTTAACTTTCGAAATCCAATTAATATAATAATATAAAATCAATTATAACATATTTCATTTTAACAACAACAAAAAAGATATAATGAAATATAAACAATCAATATAAAGAAAATTAAGTCATATACAAGCGGTATGATATAAAAAAACGAAAAAACAAAGAAACAAATGAACTTTGACCATTCTAATACATATGCTGTTCAATGTTTGATGTTCAATTGATGTATCATATTTGGTAACAACATCAAGCATAGAAATAATTCAATACCACTCATAGCAACAACAAAAAGATGTAGGGGGGTGGGGTCTATGTTTCTATATTCTCTTTTTTTATTTATATCATAATTGAATTCATTATTATTATTATTAAATATTTTTTAAATTTTCCGTGGTATAATAACATAAACAATATTATTTTTTTGTTTAACACGCGCTGAATTTAAATAATACATATCCAAATTAACTTTATATCTATGTTCAACATATGTTGTTAAATCATAATTAAAATTATTATTTTGTTCAATAATAGCATTAAATTTCATTGGTAAATTATCTAATGTTTTTAATGTAATTAAACGTTGATAACCAATAATAATAAGTTGTTCATTTAAATCATACATAGCTTGTATTGTATTTAATTTAGTTGTTGGATCTAATATCACTGTTATACAACAATCATATTTCAATATTTTTACTGTAATTTTTGTTTGAATTCTCGGTAAACCAGTTGGTATTAAATGATTATCATCTATATTACTATTATGATTATTATTAGTAGTAGTCGTATCAGTAGTATCAGTAATAGTATTAGTAGTATTATGAGTAGTATTGGATTCATTTTTTGATAAATTTTTTGTTTTTAATGTACGTGTATCACTACAACGAAATACAGATGATAAATTATTATGATGTTCATGATGATGAATTTTATGAGTTTTTTTTAATGATTGTTTATCTAATTTTTCTTCTTTTTCACATAATTCATTTAATTTTTCTATTGCATCAAGTTCATCTGGTTGAAGCATATTGTTATCTTGATAAGGTTTTCTTTTTATAGAATAATAATATAATTAAATCTATAAAAGGTAAGTAAATTTATAATTTTATATATATAAAAATATATATGTGTGTGATTTAATTGGGTAATTATATAATCAGTAATCAGAATAGATGTTCATCTCTGTCTGAGTGGTTCAGAGGTTAAACGTTCGCGTGAAAGACTGATAGGTATTAGGTTCGAATCTCATCAGGTGGGATAGTGGATGCGTACTGCTGAGGAGTCACACGATGAGATGGCCGTCCAGTGCTTCTAGGTTTTCGATTGTCGTCTAGTTTCAATTGACTCATGATTTCAACTATTTTAATAAATTACTATAATATCCACAAAATCTCTTCTGATACTAATCAATATATGCTCACCAGTGACTGACTTCAAGAGTTATATCCTGGAGTTCTAATGAGTTGTGACCAATGAAGTTCAACTGGGTCTGTTATGAGATAGTAACTCGCTGAAGATAATGATGAATGTGTCGCTCATTTTCGTGGATTAATTGAAGTTAAACATTAACATCGTTGGTTGCCGACCGGCTGAGTGGTCTAGTGGTTAAGCGTTCGCACGCGAAACTGAAAGCAACCACTAGTATAAATGAAATCGGTTAACCACCAAACCAATTTTACGCATGAACAGTCAGCAAAACTTGCCAAAGTAATGCCGAACCATCTACAATATCAATGACGAACCTCCAGTCTCATATGAGACCTTCAGCTCTACATAGCTAAATAGCAATATAGAACCTACATTATTATTAAACGAAGAAAGGTTACGACTAAAAATCAAGAGTTCAGTCCAAGTCAGAAGTGATAGGGTTGGGTGTATTAGAGTTAATAGTACCAACGTAAGAAATCAGGGGTAGTAGTGTTAGGATTAGCACATGGAACTTAGAGAATTAAGGTTCAGAGTGCTAGAATTAGAATATGTAGTACGAGTTTGAGAATACTTTATCATCACGAAACCACCATTGATTACGTCATGAATCACATAATCTACTTTGGGATACAATCTCATAATAGAGCACATATTTCTGTTAATTTAGTTCACGCACCATATTAAATTCACTATATAATTGCATAAAACTTGTTTTTAACAAATATAATCACTTTAAAATCTAATTGAAGACAAGTTTTATCTGGGTTTCCTGAGCAAATGTATATTCTGTTATAAATTTACGAGATACATTTAGACAGGTATAGAATTTGTAAAACATTAAATACATATAGCGAATAAAATCCTTTCTACTATTATTTATTTCATTTGATTTGAAAGTAGATTATAAACAATATTCATCCAGAATTAGATCACAATTATTGCATTAGTACGAAGCCAACTGATTAAGTCATGGGATCAAAAGGTAAGAGTAAAAAATAGAAGACAAGATTAAACATATCACTGAATTGTTGTTCATTCTATTATATTCAAATATATAATCAAGTTTTAGGTTGTATCAGAATAATAAATTAAACGATTTCTGATTCAAATGTATTCATGATTCAATATCTCACTTAACTTTATTTAAAATGAATGAGAAATTGATAAGTCTTCTAATTGAACGCTAGACTCGGTTTACTAAGCTCTTCTAGTAGCCCCCAGGCTAAAACTACACAACAACTTAAACACTAAAGAAAAGGACTGAAATATGGAACAAAAGGCTCTATATACAGAAAATCTATGGTATTTATAGTATTTTAGATGTCCTTGGGTTTCCGAAAAATTCTGAAACACTAATAAACATAGTGGCAGTATAGGTAGCCAGCCAATCAGAAACTCGATATGTGACTTTTCACTTTCTAGATGTCTCTGACAAACCTTCTACTGAATACTGATTAGATAAGATATTTATGAGCGTTTTCAGATCCATTTTTTGGCTTTTTTTATCGACGAATTTTCTGAATCTCCTCAACAAACTTTCACTTAAACTGAAAATTGTATCAATAGCTGAGATCATGATTCAATTGAGAGTAGACCACCATGGACGGCCGTTTCATTCTATTGTGGAACTCCTCAGCAACGCGCATCCACGATCCCACCTGACGAGATTCGAACCCAGGATCTATTAGTCACGCGGACTAAAGGTTAAGCATTCGCAAGTAAAACCGAAGGTCTTGGGCCCGAATCCTGCGAGCGGAATAGTAGATGTGCACTGCTGAGTAGTCTCACAATAGGAAGAAACGGCCGTTCAGTGCTCCCAGGTTTTTCATGGTGGCCTAGCTTCAATTGACTCATGAACTCAACTATTAAATTTCAAGATGTAATGATGGATATAATATGAATGCAATAATCTATAGCTGAAGGGACTACATCCCTACAAAAAATAAGAACAAATATACCTACACATACATCTTTACCAGCATGCATGAAATATATGCTCTTATTTAATTAGTCGATAAACCATTAACTAAAAATTTAAAAGAATTTTCATATCATTAATAAATTTTAGAATTCATACTCTTGTATGTGTGCGTATGTGTATATGCATTTACTTTGCTGATTGGATCGGAAGGTATTGATTTCGGGTCTCATTGTGAACATCATCAATAGGATGCTGATGAATTTCGAATAGAATAAAATTCACTGTTAATCATTGTCAAATTTTAATAAATATTTGTGAACAAATAGTTATATTGAAACAATCTTCTTAAGATGGATATATGTCAATATAGACTGATCATTGTTTTAGTCCTTTATATAGATAACGGAAAAGTATATAAACCTTTAACTCCGTCTGGAGCCCTCCTGGGGTTACTTCCAGTCCCAAGCTCGGATAAAGGAGGAGGGTTGGGCATGAGGTTAGCAACTCCATCCCGTAGAAAACGAACTCGCTAAAAAAACGCTAATCAGAAAAATAAAAACCTTTACAAATACTACCACTGTTACAGATTTTTTTTTTAAATCATACAATATAACCATTGTTACTGCTTAATGTATTTTTAGTGGCTTTGCTTCGTTAATCAATCACATTTGTAACCGTTATAATATAAATCTAAACGCAATAAGAACCGGTAACTACAGTTTATTGGCGAATAACACATATCACGAAGTTATGAACACATCGATCCAATTTGAAGCGGAGAGACGAATAAGTATACACAAGAAATTACATAGGCAAATTTATAGTCAAATTGTATGTGGGTGCAGCAAGGCAAAGCAAAAGCTAATGATAGGATTCTAGTACATATGTACATGGAGAAGAGAATGATTCGTCGAGTAATATTTAAGCTATCAACATTTACGCTAGAAAGAGATATGCGCACAGGTTGTCATGTGATCAAGCATACATGTTTATATTGACAAGACAGTGATTATAATAGCACAAAGAAATATGCGGATTGTTACTGCTCGAATAACATTGTCTGTCAAGTAAGTTAACAAAAGGTCTTAACCATAATCGAAATCGATTGTAGTGTAGTGAACACGAATACAACTAGGGTCAATCGGACGTATTTAAACACAAAATTGCAGACCTCTTAATAATATCTGAGAGCAATACAGTGAATAATTCATTCTGCAAAAGGTCAATCACTTGTCCCATACTTGATTGTTCCTTTTGTAAATATCAATCAATCATCTCAGACATCAATGTTCATGCATTTTCATACTAATTGCTTTCTACTTCTTGTCGACTTTCTACTGCTAGACATTCTATTCCTAACTAATATTTATATACTACTTATGTTGATATAAGTAGCACATCCTACAGTAAGGAGTTACTATTATTTTAATGTTTAAATAATATTCAGTTTTAATAAGCCAAATACATATTAGATACTTAAGATCTATAAAATTAGTCAAATTCAATTATTCTATATTAATAATAATAGTAATAATAATAATAAAGTTATTTTTCTTTAAAAAAGATGACCACGTGTAGTGAGTATACTTAGTATACCACTAATGATAAGTAGAATTATTATTAATTTCTTTTCATTGTATATGGGATTAACTAATAAATGTCATTTTTTACTTTTAAACTAAAATATAAGTAATATTAGAGAGTCATTATTATTAATTAGTAGTAGTGATGGTAGTAGTAGTAGTAGTAGTAGTAGTACTAGTAGTAATGGTTTTAGAACTATTTAAGCATATGACACTGACCTTTTCAATTATACATATATAGATGTATATTAACTCATTTCAATGAATAACTTTGTGGATATTGAATAGCTTCATTTGGAATTGCGTTAAAATCAATAAAACTTGAAAGCTGATAAAATCATAGTACAATATTTCAATACTAATTATTCCAAGTACGATTCATTTATAAGTGTTTTACATATATCATAAAAGTCTGTTTCTTTGCTAGGAGTTGAGTTATAGGTATATTTGAGGAGCACTACTATTGTGGTGCATGCTACTTATGTCGACAGATATAAGTAATATGTGACACCGGTCGGAAGTGGTAAACATATCAGCAGAAGGCTATGATGGTTATGGTGGAGTTTTGTTATTTGAGCTGGATGGTTTTGTTATTGAGCTTTCATTCTTCTTCTGAACGACACAATTAGCACAAACTTCAAGTACAAGTGAACTGTTATAATTCCTCCACACATGACTCCTGTAGATCTCGATGTTGATCGGTTATTGTTGAGGTTTAACTTGTCGAGGTCTACAGGATAAGCTGGGAGTTATATATGTGTAGAAATTGGAACACTTATACTTAAAGTTTGTGCTGTTGATGTCGTTCAGAAGAACAATCAAAGCTCCATAACTAAACCATCTAGCACAGAGAACAAAACCATCCACCTGAGCTACAAATCACTATTTCAAAGTTATAAAGGCTGACTTGAAGAAAACAGAAACGGAATTAGAAAGGAATCATACAGAATGTGGAAGAAAAATGATGGAAATTTGCACATGAATTATTTCATGTATGGTTCTCATATTTTACTAAGATATTCTGTAATTTTGTATCAAAAAACACTTAGATGTACCCACCTGTGTGTTTATTCTCTACACTATATAGTACAGAGTTTGCGTGACGAAGCCGCCCGTGCTCCTCCACAGGGGATAACAAGCGTAAGTTAGTAAGTATACATGGTGAAACTGCTATTAATCAATTTATTGAAGGATTATAATTTAATCTACTTGTGTTTTTTCATGTTTTGTTATTGACACATTAATAGTATATTTTCGAACTAGATATGGTTCTAATTTTCTCCATTTTGATGTCGATAATGGTTAGTACAACGTCTAAACCGTTTTTTCAGGAGCGAGAATTGACCAGTTTGTTCTTTGAACAAATATCACTAATTGATAATATTAACTTGCAGAAATTATCATCTGTTTTCGATTAAAACGATAACAATGATCACTACCCAGTGACCAATCAATTGTTA